AGAACTACACACGCAGATCTGCACCAACCACACCAACCCCACAGTCGCACAGCACCCTGCGTGGGCTTTGATAGCCCTGGCTTCAGAAGAGACACATGGTACAGGCAAATGTAATCACAGCCTCCCAGGACATGGACTTTGCTGGTGGCTCTGGAGAACCTGAACTCCCTCCCTCAGTGTCTGAGGCCAGCTGGGTTTCCCTGGTGGCCTCCTGGGCTGCCCCCAAGGAGGGCCCCAAGTGCAGCCTACCCTCCATTCTCAGGGCAAAGGCCTGGCCAGGTTTTCCGGCCCGCTGTGGTGGGGAAACCCCTGCTGCTGCAGAAACCAACCTGACTTTGAAAAGGAAGGCAGAAGCAAGGAGGTGGGGGTGGGTGGGGAGTGGGGGCGGGTGGACATCCACTCCCCCAGGGCACAGGTGCTAAGTAACTCTATTAACTCCCCAGATCCTCCAGAGCAGTCAGGCTTGAGGGGTGGGAGCATCTTCCTACCCACTTTCCAGCTTCCCAGGAACAGGCCAGTGTGAGGCCTGACTAGCAGTGGGCAGTGGGCACCCATACACCCATACACCCAAGCCCACCCAGGCCCACCCACCCTCAGCCCTCGGGAACTCCACTGGCCCTCACTGGAGTGACAGTTCACCTGCAGGGGCTGTCCCCTGCCCCACCCTAAACCCGGTCCATGAGACTGGGAACGGGGAGACTTGGGTTTTTTGGCTTCACCCCAGAGAGCTGAACTGAGTACAAAAGAGAGCGCTGTAGCCTCCCTCACCAGGCCACGTACATGCAAGCATTGCCTCACCCAGGAACAATCGCTCCTCTCTGGCACTCTGCTTCAAGCTCGGGCCCGCGCCTCGGCGGCCGTGGGGAGGGCTAGAGAGGGGACTGCACGCGTTGCCCTTTTTCCCAGGCTGGAGGGACAGAAGCACGGGCAAGTTGTTGCAACTGGCCGGCAAGTCCACGGCTAGCTTTCTCCCACCAGACGCGAGCCCCTGGAAGGCAGGGCGCCTCCCAGGCTGTGCGCGCAGAAAGCGCGGAAGTTTGGATCTGAGCAACCGCATCTGCTCAGGCTCTCGGAGGAAGCCGGAGGCCAGCCTGCAGCAGCGCCCAGGGGCCCGGAGAGCCAGGTCTTGAACCAGAGATTCAGCGGGTGCAGAGACGAGCCCACCTCCCCTAGCTGTCAAGGTGGCCCGAACAGGCCTCAACTCCCTTTCGCCGCTCCACTGAGCACCCTCTCCCTCTGTTGGGGGCGGATGGCAGGGCGGTCATTAAGTGACACTTCCCCCAGCGAGCTCGAAACCAAAGTGCTGCGCCCAAGTTTAGTCCGGGACCGTCCCCAGAAGCGACCAGCGAGGACGAAGGCCGGGGCCGACCGGGCCAGGGCGCGAGGCCGGCGGGGGCCTGAGTGGGGTGAGCCCCAGGCCGAGCGGAC